CCATATTTAAGCAATTACATGCAACTCAGAAATGCCAATTTCCATCACAATTAGCCTGAGTTATGCAACATATTTTTGTTCCTTTTTAGTATATAGTTGGTATATGTTTTTATAATTTGTTTAACTGCCTATAGTGAAATTTTGAAATCACATAGGCAATATAAAACCTTAAGAGAAAGGGCACCTTTTAATTTTTCCCAATGTGCCATGTTTCTGCATTGCTTATAGAGCTTGTACAAGAAACACTGTTAGTTTCTATATAAAGATTTCCATAAAATTGTTATAGTTTCTATAAATGCATAAAGATTGTTGGTTTCATTATAACACTCTGTTTCAGTGCCAGTGGAAAGAAAAATTACCTGCAACTCTAAACAGCAATCTACATATACAGGGATGGATAACTGTGCCTGGACCACTCTTTAAAGAGCTCTAAGAGGCTCACTGTATTCCATCAAAGTGTGGATGAGCACCCTGGAAAAGCAACTTTTAGCACCTTCAACTCTAATTGCCACTCTTAGAAAAAACAGGCTATGAAAGTACAATTGTGAGGACAAATTATTAATTCTACATGTTTTAGTATAAAGAGTAATCATATTATAACTAATACATTTTAAAACGGTATGGGTAATACCTATCATACTTGACACATTACAAGACTATTTAAGGAAATCTCTCTGATAGGTTATTATCTCTTAATTTCAAACCACTTCATACTAAATATTACAATTACTAAAGGCTCATGTTTTTTCATCTGAAAAAAATCATATAATGTTTTGAGACCAAAGATGGGATTTTGATGAGAGTGGTGACTATAATTTGCTAACATGTTAATTTAACTATTCTTTTCTCCCTTAATTCAATTAGTATTCATTAAAACTAAACAAATCACAATAAGTAAAGTTTTACCAATTATTTCCATAACTATGAATGAACACAGTAAACATAATAGAATAATTATAAACCCACTTAATTAACTACAAGACTATTTTCAGCAGGGAAAGCTATTCATTTTTTTTCTTACTTTTAATGTCTGATTGACATGTTGATATATTTGAGAAACCAATTTCTAGAAATGAAAGAAATACATTATTATTGTGCTTCAGTCCTTTAACAAAATTTTCCAATTGGCTTTTATTAAGAGCCACATTACCTAAAGTTATAGCATAAGAGACTGAAAAGAATCCAGTCTAAGCTACACAAATCCAAAGTAACTCAAAACTTACATCTGTAATTTAATAATCTTAACCCTAAAAAGATATTTTACACTACTTCGTATTATAGTTAAGGGAGATAGAATTTAAGAAAATTTCTTAAGTAAGCCGTTATTAAAATTTTTCAAAAATACAGGATTCTTTTCAAGTCAGGATCCTACCAATGTTGATGTTTTAGTATTTAAACTAGCTAAACATTAAACAAAAGCAGATGAATAAATAATATGAACTCTGAAAACCCCTGCTTTTGCCTTTTTTTTTTCTTTTTAAAAAAATATAGGCAATGCATGTCTTTCAGGAATTAACAAAGCCTGTATTTCCAGGTTTAAAGATAGCAGACTTACCAGATTTTAAATGAAATATTGAGTGCTACAGTGATTTAATGGTTTTAAACCATAGATGTCATTGTGGTCTGAGGGTGTCACAGACAACTTAAGGAGGAAAAAAAATGGGACACAGAGAAATCACTTTGTCAGTAATTACAATCAGACTGCTCATTACTTCTTCCTTCTGTATCAAGACCCTTATTTACATTTCAGATTACATTTTTTATGAAACGGTAAGATCTATCAGAGCTGAGAGGACTGAAATAATGAGGGGAAAACATTTTAATAAAACGTGTTGGGTCTGCATTACTTCCGTGACAGAAAGAAAGGCTTCTTCTATAGTGATGGATCATTTATTCTGCTTCTAAACGAGAAGCAAAAAGATGAAACTGATGAACTTTTACTGCCCATTTGTCTTTAGCAGACAATTAAGACAGAGAAGATCAAAATGGATTATCATACCACGCAGACAACTGGCCCAACAGTAATACATCTCCGGGACCACAGATTTGTAACTCTCTTTTATCCCTCCCCTTTCTTCTTACTTCTTTTTCCACTCTAAAGGCAGTGCTAGCTTTGTGGCTCAAGGAGAGCCAAAAGGCTGGTCATCATTATTCAGTCACAGATGTCAATCTAACCTCCCTTTTTTCTCAGTTTCTAAAGCAGTGAGCCACAATAATTTGTGACAGATTCTTTTACTGTAAGGTACAAAGAACACACAGAATAAAACATCTAGCAGCAGCAAGCGTCTCTGATCAATGTGCTGGTACATGGGAAATACACTGTATGTAAAAACAAGCACTGGTAGTTTAGGCGAATAAGGAGAAAAACTGGGGGAGGGGGAATTGTGTGTGTGTGCGCGTGTGTGTGTGTCTGTGTGTGTGTGTGTGTGTCTGTGTGGTAATAAGTGCTATACTTTGTGGTGAATTATCTCAAATATTCCTTAAGGATTACATCATAAATGTTTTAATACTAGAAATGTTGTCAAGATTAAGTGCATATTCAGCATTTAAGGTTTGTATGTAATAGAAATATTTCTAAGAATTCCTTTATAATAGTTTTACTATGGGAAAAGATAATTTAACAAACGTGAAGAAGAAAAAACTAAGATTAGAACCTAAATGATAAAAAGATAAATTAAAAAACACACAGTTCTTTCTTTCTTTCCCAGTAGACACAACTCTCAAATATATTTCTGGGAATTTGGAGGTAATGTCTCCAAAACAAAGTAGATCCTTCATTAATCATTTCTTGGGTTATAGGAGGCGAAGAGAAAAAAAAAGGAAATCATATATGTCAAGTTGGAGGAGATAAATAAATCTCTGCTAAGTGAGGCTGAGATGTGCGCACTCTTATAAGTCTACCTCTGGTCCATGAGGATCATTCTCCAAATTTCAAAACGATGTCAATGATTTAAACAAAGAAAACAAATACTACTATACTATGTGCACCTTTAAAATAACTAACGCTATCATTATTATTTAGGTTCCTACTATAATTCTAATTATTCCAACTTCAATATATGAAATACTTATAAGACCATCCATGAAAGCAAAGAGAATTACGTTCATAACATAATATCTAATCAGTTAACTGAGCTCTGTATACAATGACGGAATTGATAATAGCCTATATTTCTCTCAGTACACACATATGCATGAATAGTACATGTATGCATATATATACACATATACTCTCCTCAAACACAAACTTCCATGTGTACTCAGGGAAATAAACATGGAAAAATAAATACCGAATTATTACAGTGGTTATCTCTGTGCAGTATAATAACCGATGATTTGTATTTTCTTTTCATTCTTTTTTTAATTTATTTTTGCTTTATTTATAGTTTCTACATGTTTTGTCATGAACGTATTACCCATGTAGTTTTTTAAAGTTATACTAAAAAAGAAATCATGTTGTTCAAAAACTTTCAGATATAGTAAGAAACTGTGTTGAACGGAATAGACCCAGATGGTAACTATGCTATTTTAAGTTTCTCCTATAAAATTCCCTCTCACTGAGTAATTCAGATCATGGGACTACAAAGGTTATTTACCTAGACACAAGACTTTAGAACAATAATTTTATTAAAATCTATGGACTCAAGTGTATTCCAAATAATACTTTAAGATTTTCCAGCCTTTATATATTGTTTAAAGAAAGGAAATCCATTAATGAAAAGGTCCTATGATCATCCTTGGATTGTGTAGTTTAAATCTGAAGAGCCCAATCTCATAGAAATTTAAGATAAAATAAAAATTTAACTCTCCTGGTAGAAGATGAAGCAAAAGACAGAGTCGGAAGATTTTAATATTTTTTAAAATCTTATTTAAAAGTCTTGAGATCAAACACAAAGCAAACCATACCAGTTCTCTTGGGTTCTTGTACTATAAGATCTCATTACAAAGCATCTCATTATACTGATTATCCAGTTCTATTCCTGGTCACATTATGTCCCCTTTATTCATAAAGATGTATCAGATACCTTGCTCTCTACACAACAAGATACACCTTAAAGGTGTTACTATCACTGCACTGGGTATTTCTATTCTATTGTACTTATCCTCATTCAAAGACTTTAAATAAAAAAATTAAATAGATGTACTTAAGCAACACGCTTTTATTGTATATGGTATTTCACATGTGAAAGGTTTTATAAAGTTGTCTTATTCGGTGTAATCAAGAATGCTTTTATTTCAAAGCTGCTTTTAAAAGTATACCAAATTGCATATTTGAACTAAAAATATAAGGTGCCCCAAAAAAGCTACAGAACATCTTCAATATCTCTCAAGATAGAAACTAGAATCCTGAATGTATAACCTAGAACTAATTATAAAAAATATAGCAACATCAGAACTTCAGCACTACCTTGTGAGTGAAATCGTTCCTTCTACCCCATTCTATGCTTGCAGAATGCTGTCAACTCAAGATGGTAGAGCCAACTGGCCAACCTTAACTCACTACCTTCATCAGCACCACCCTCATCCTTAAGTCCATTTCTGCACGTGCATCTTCTCCTTCAGGTACTACCATAACACATAATTTCATCATCTATTTCAAATTCCAGGAAATGTTATAAACTTCCCTCTTCCCTCTTTTTTGTTACACTGCTTCTTGACTCCTGAAATAGCATTTTTTTTAAAAGTTCACAGGCAATCCAAAAAGGATTTCCTAATGAAGTGCAGACTGTAGCATACCTCAAAGTGAAGAATATAATTTCTGATAGGTTTTCTTCCTTATTTTGTGTTCATTTTCTCCCCAAAGGTAACACCCCAAATCTAGCACCAATATTTTCCGTCCTACTTCAATACATTTTAGTTTTTGTCTTTGGTTCCTAATTACTGCTTTTCTTCCCTTCTAAAAATTCATTTATCTCTTTCAGTAAAAAGAACAGTAATAATATGTTGAACAACTCTGAAATAAATTTTGTCATGTAAAAAATTAATTACGCATTCCGAACCTGGTCACTGTAGTCCTCCGGGAATTGCCTCTGCACCTCAGGATCTGTAAATAATTGACAGATAATATTAATTGGCTTTGGATTAGTGAGCAAGCAGAGGATCACACATTAATATTTGATCAGAAGATGATAGCAGCCCTGGCAGGGGATCCAAGGGGGGCAGCTGAGGCTGCTATGTTGATGAGCACAAGGAAGGACTCGGCAAGGCACTCCCATTACCCTCCTCCAGAAATATAAAAAAGAAAAATTTTAAAGACCTGATGCTACTGTTAACTTTAGACTATTACCTAATGCAAAAATCTTGCCAGCTGCAAATTGCCCTCAATATATTTTTCCAGAGAAAACGAGTCTTAAACCTGCTTGACTTTTCTTCTCTAATCAGAAGCCTCCTTTGCATAGTTACAGATGTGGGCTTGATAAACCACCTTAAGCACTGGTTCAGACTGGGGAAAAAGGGGGAGCGAGAGAATTTTTTCAAGGAATAAATGCAAAACTCATTGCTTTAATAAATGAAATCTATCCTTCTCAAAATGCTTATACACTCTTATGAAAAGGCAGATAAAACTAGATGGAAGTTTTCTTCAGAAGAGAACCAATGCTTTTGGCTTGTCAGTATAAACAAAATATCATGAAAAAATTATGTTCCAGCTGACATAATCAAACTTGCTCAGAAACTATACAAATACACAGGGGAAAATACCTTTCATGACCACCTATTTAAAATGGAGTTACTAAAGAGATCACTTTATTCTTAAATCATAAGCAAGATGATTCAATGCCATCTTCTGTAAGTCAATACAGAAGTGAAAAAATTAAAAGCTATTAGCATTCCATTTACTATCGATTAGGAAAACATTCAATCATTTCTAATAAGGAAAAGATCTGATTCCTTGGAGACATGTTAAGGAAAGTGATCAGAGGTCAGAATAATATCTATTTGAGAACAATATATCAATTCAGAGGCTTATGGAAAATCACAGATTTGAGGGTCTCCCGTCTAACAATGATCACGATATATGCTACCCATGGCTACCTTTAAATACAACACTAAAACACTAATTTACATCCCTGTGAAAGTGAATCCATGTAAAAGTTCACTGCAGTCCATTTCTGCAGTGAATAATCAAGAAGGGAAAAAACTAAGGGCCTATTCACAAACTACTAGGATCCTAGAAATACCAGTTTTCAAGTCATTACAGCCAATGTGTATTATTTTTTAAAACCCAAGACTAACAACAAAAGCAGGAATATTCAAAAGGTTACACCAAAACCTTTTGAATATTCCTGCTTTTGTTGTTGAGTGGTGCCAAAAAGTTGAAACTATCTGCAAGTGATTTCAAATCTTTACGTGTCTTTTGGTTGGCTTAAAAGCTGGGAATCAATTTCTTTCTTCACCCTCATCTTCAACTACTGGGAAGGAATCGATGTGTCTAGACCAACTAGAGAACTCTGGAGTAATGCCCCCGCAGTACCAATTCAGGGCTTCCCTGGTAGGCAGCAGCTTCTTCACTTGACCCGTCTTTGGCCCCAAGGACTGAAACTGCTCAAGGACTCAGCCCTTATGAGAGAGGAGGCCAGCGGGCACCAAGAGTGTGGCAGGAAAAGGACTAGGCCAGCAGTGAAGAATTCACCAGCAGGAGACAAAGGGGCAGCCTGCTGCCCAACAATCCTCTACCAGTGTGCAGTGAGGGGAAAAGGGGGTGAACAAAGGGAACAAGGGGCCTAAAAAAGAGGGCAGTGGCTATAATTTCTAAAACATACATAAATAACTTAAAATTTGGTACAGAGACCCAAAAAATGCAGCTCTAAGCCACTGAGGGACATAATAAAACAGAGGTTGGGAAAGCCACTAAATCATCTAAGGCTTATTCTTTTTCTTCCAACTGATATGTGGTTTAACACTTATTCTTTAACTACCAAACTTCATACAAAAATTACTCTCATGCCAATCGTTACTATCATGCCCTCTTTCTTGCAGTAATTTGTGCTTCTTGGGAACTACAAAATACCCATGAAAACAAAACCAAAGATTACTTTTCTATCACCTTTTTGTGAAAGACTATATGTCCGAAACCAAAATTTGTAGTATATTCTTCAATTTTTAAAAATACCATTCTTATTCACAGGTGGCAGATGGTTCTTAAATCTTTTCAGTCAACTATATTAATAAGAAATCATAACAAAAAAATTCATATAAAAATATTTTTTATTAACATATACAACACAGAATTGAAAAAAGCATGGGAAAATCAATGAAAAGAAAAAAAAATCAACCTATCTTAACACATTGAAGATAAAGATGACCACGGAATGCCAAAAAGGAGGCCATTCAAACTGTATTATTCCAAATACTGCCTCAATGGAAAGCAACATAAACACCATCAATTAAATTCCTTCAATTGCCCTAAGACTCTCTAAAATGAAATTACCAGGTTTTAACAGAATAACGTTCCAAGATAATACATGCATTATTAGTTACTATGATTCAAGCATACAACTTTTGGTTTCTTTTCATTAAGGCCTCTAACATTTACAAAAAAACAAACTTCATAGGTCTTTAACATTCACCAAAGCAATATAATACATTTTTTGAAAGAAAGGAAGAAAAGCAATGCTTTTTAAAACCAAGTCAACCTATAAAGTTCCATTCAATCAGCTAGAAGATTCAGTCCGATAGTTCATAAAACTACGAAAGCCATTTTGGAAAGATTAACACAAAAACTGCAAATAATTTATTTGAATTTTCTTAAAATGTCTATTTAACACAGGAGGCTGAAATCTTTTTTCACATTGAGTCAATCGCAATGCCATAATGTCACCAAAATATCGACATTGGAAACATCTGAGTTAAAAAGGTCCAAATACAATCTGCTTTTCTCAAGCAACACAACACCCGCCCTACTAACAGTTTCAGCATGGCACATGTACAAAACCTAGCACCCTGCAGTTAAGCAAACCGCCTTTAAATTTTCTGTCTGGCAGCAATCCACTTGCGTGTCTGTATGTTTTTACAAGTACTCTATGTATTTCATTGCGTCAGCTGCATTTCTTTGAGTTTTAAATGGTCTGGGAACATTTTATGAAATGTTCTATATCTTTATATGGAAAATAACATACACTGGAAAACTGCATCGGTCTAATATTTATATATCTATTTCTTTATCCACCATTCAATGCTATAATTGCTTATGTTCCAAAACACCTTCTCACATTCATAAGCTCACCATCAAATGTAGTGTCACCAAACAGCTAACTTTCAACACAAAAATCTGCAGGGAAGAGTACTACCACAGAAGAAAGTAACATAATTTGCTTAGGCAATTGGCAGTAAGAATAGAGTAATCAGCGTATGTCAAGCTTTTTCCCCAAGAATTGTCCCGCTGACAGAAAATTAAGAATCTAGTGGTACATAGCACACCCTTCTTTCCTTATCCTTTTCTCTCAATAACTTTCTTCTACTTTAGGCAATAGATAACTTACAAACTTAAAAAAATCAATGTCATCAACTCCCAGGAAAATACTTTTCAACACGAAAAAAATATTGTATTTAAAAATCTTGCTAATAATACGTACACTCTAATAAAGTCCATGCATCTCTTAACCAAAGAGGCAGGTGGCTCTCAGACAAGGTTTCATATCATGTCATTGTGATGTCACAGCACCATGGCCATCAAAGAGGCTGTCCCCACAGAAACGTGTGCATCACTTTCACTGAAGCATTTCCATATTTAAACACACACATTTCACAGTATAGGACTCCCAAAAGCACAATCTCACTCAGGCACAGAACATGACCATGCTTAAAAAGCTATGTCTTCACAGCAGGAAAAAACTGATCTCCTAAACAAACATGTCTAACATTTTTTCTTTTAAGAAAGGCTAATCTGCTTCCACCTCAACAGTCTATGTTTTCCAGTCTTCTCCTATACATACTTTTAAATCTTTAAGATATACCAGATTGCCACAGAATGTTTAATTAATAGAATAAGAGTGTGGGCAAGACTTACTGGAAAGGTGCTATAAATTATTTTACACAGGCTCCAAAAACCCTGAGTTCTGCCTTAGGCTTAAAGTTCCTAGAAAACGTGGTAGACAGATCTTTTACAACAGAAATGCAAAATAATTCATAAAAGTGCTGTGGTTATGTATGAGGGCTCATTTGTACATTGGTAACTCGTATGTGTACACACACACGCACCTTACCAAATTATTTTCCTGTTTCCCTTTGTCATACCAATGACTTCATTTAAAGAGTCATGACATATTTTTAAACTGATTAAAAAATACACCGACTTCATTTTGTACAAAACACATAACAACTGCATACTAACCAAAAGCCATTATCTCCTATAATAGGACCTCTTCTAGGAAATTTAAGAGAAGCTGCAAATGTAGCAGTTAACACGGGAATCTACACTGCTTTCACTTTTAACATGTTAGGATTTCAAGGCAGAAAACATTACATTTAATGCCCGCTGAATTTACCCAATCATTATCTCTAGGATATTTCAGTCAATAAGAGACAAAATATTGAACATATTTAAAGCTTACAATTACAAAATCTGCCCTTTAAAGAAGCAGGACTTTAACATCAGCTATAAACCATATAATCTCATTGTTCAATTTCATGGAGTTTAAGATACTATCTTCCTCTCCCCACAACCATAAATGTTAATCCAAGCTGTAATCAGATTTAATTTTCCAGATGAGAAGATGGGAATATGCTGCAAACAGGATAACAGTCCACTACACTGCTCTTTCACTAATGACATTTCCAAATTTTATACACTAAAAATGTAGACTTTCAGAAAATAGTCTAAGAAGTTGTATAGTTTGAGAACAAGCTCAAATTCTCCCCTAAATACACTCAGAAATAAGCTTTCTTTTAATCCTCAAAAAGAAAATTTGTTTGTATTACACAAAATTAAAGTTTCTTGATAAGATGACTGCAAACTGGACTGCATTAAATATAGCATTTCAAGGACACTAGTAAACTTACTAAAGCTACAAAAACTCAGCTTCATTTATTTTACATTGTAAAATA